CCCTGCTGAAGATACCACCTTCCTACACATTTCTTTCCTAAGTTGACCCTCCCAAAAGGAGCATCAACAAAATGGTTTCAAAACCTTCAAACCACAGCAGCAGAGATCAACAGATCAAAAATAGGGTTATCGTACCTCCATTGAAATACCCAGAGCTCTCAAACAACCCTGAAATTCAAATTCTCAATCGGGGTTTCTTTAATTATGGATTTTCTTTGACAATTTCGTGATTGAGGCTTGATTGGTTTCAGAAATTTTTGTACTATTATTTATGGTTGAGGTCACACGCAATTTGGTCATATGGTAGAATTTCTCTTTGTAAACATCAACATCTTGATGCAGGCCCAAAAACTAGTTTGTTTACTTCTCTAGTTAATTAATTTTGTTTCCCTTACTCTACATGTTTTGCAATGTTTGTGTTGATCATTTAGCCATATTGTTCTTCTTCATTTCTCAATGATGAATTGCTGATATCAAAGTTTGAAAGCTTAATCATATCCGAGTTTAGTTCATTTTTTAGTAAACACCATGCTAATCAGCTAGATGGTGCTTAATAACCATGCATCAAAGTTCTTGAGGTTCAAGAGCATGATTGAGATTATTGGTTTCTAAGTCAGAAACTAGTTTATCAGAGAAAGAAAACCCTCATCAGTTTTTAAACCCAGGCCTCAGATTTGATTTAGGTACAAGCTTAGGCCTTAGATTTTTGTGGGCAAAACCAGAATTTTCCCAATGGATCACAGGATATATGAACACTTATTGTGATAAGAAATTGTAAAACAACATCAGAGCCACTCATGTTAAAGGTTTATTATGTGTTTTAATTTTGCAGTTCATTTTTGGGCCCCAACTTTTAAATGGGGTCTAACCATTGCAAATATTCTTGACTCCTCAAAACCACCTGATGGATTATTGTTGGATTATGTTTGAACCACATGATTCAATTGAGGCCAATGAAAAATTTAACCTCATCGATCGCTTCTTTCTCCCAGACCTACTACTTTATGACTGGAATGCTACATGTAGATTTTTAGTTTGTATTAAGCAAAACAAAGTGATACATTGGGGTCTGCAATGTGGTACATGTAGCAGAACTTCCCTATATAAACATCTTCATTCAGCACCTTTAACCCCGCGCATACAAGCCATTGAAAGAGGGTTAATTAGGTGGTAGAGGGTGTTTATCCCTGCACTCAAAGCCAGAGTTTGAATCCTTCCCTTTTCTTTTCGCCTTCCTTTTAACCAAAAGGAAAGAAAAACCTTACAAAGCTTTGGTCATTGCAGTATTTCAGTCACTAACAAGTTAACAACGTCTATTCGCCTAGAGAAAACAGCGTTCCATCGCCTAATTAAGAGCACTGCTAGCTGCTAGTTGTATTGTAAGGCTGCTTTGTAGCAAGATATGCCTATTACATATACGAATTCATGAAAAACCCAAAGAATATGACATAAACAGGTGATGTACAAGACTTGTATTTCTTAATGGTGAAGATGTTCATGAAAAAGAGTTTAAAATGCCTTCAAAGTCACCTCTCAACAAATGAATAACTTGAACCAGCGGATGTACAATTTTTTAATGGCTTTGACCAAATCATAAAGAGATACAATTTTGATTCTATCCTCTGCTTAAATATTATACAGTCCCTTTCTTCTAGTCAAAAGGTATTCAATCGACATAATAATAAGTTCCTTTCTTCTTCCTCCTCAGTTTTGCTACATTACTTCAAACAAAGAGAGAGAGAGAGAGAGAGAGAGAGAGAGAGAGAGAGAGAGAGAGAGAGAGAGAGAGAGAGAGAGAGAGAGAGAGAGAGAGAGAGAGAGAGAGAGAGAGAGAGAGAGAGAGAGAGAGAGAGAGAGAGAGAGAGAGAGAGAGAGAGAGAGAGAGAGAGAGAGAGAGAGGTCAAATTCTAAGCTGCAAGCAATTTGGAACCACCCAGCCGGCCCGAAAACTAGTTCGTTTACTTCTCAAAATCCACTTACTCAACAAATCTCTACATGTTTGTGTTGATAATTTAGCCATATTGTTCTTCTAATTTCTTAATGATGAATTGTTAGTATGAAAGTTTGATATCAAAGCATCCCCTGCAGATCATATAACTGAGTTCTGTACATTAAAGTTTTAGTAAGAACCATGCAAATCAGCTCCATGGTGCTTTATTATTATTATGCATCGAAGTTATTCAAATTAAAGATCACGACTGAGATTATTATTGATTTCTAATTGTTTGCGCTAAAACTAGACGGGTAGTAAATATCAGTCCATTTTTGGGCTCCAACTTTTAAATGGGGCGTAACCATTGCCAATATTATCGACTCTTCAAAACCACCTGAGCAACTCTCCTACGTTCAGCAATCAGGTTGGTTTAATAGATTTCTCTCTCTCTCTCTCTCTCTCTGTTTGTTTTTTTGAGGCCTCTGATAGAAATTTTTGTCATCCCCATTTTATTTTCTCCAGCCCTTACATGCAACGGACTTATATGGGCAAGAAACAGCGCAATAATTATACCAGTAATTAATTCTAAACTTCAGTTCATTAACTTAATGCTTAATTTTTTTTTAGGCCAATAATTTTGCAGTATATATAAGTTTTGAGTTTTTTCTTATAATTTGTTCATTTTGAGACTGCAGAAGAACTGGAATCTTTTCAGTGTCAGTATTGGGATGGCTGCAGCTTCCATGTTTCAACTTTCACGTAAAATTCAATAAGTAGTGGTCATTCACATATTTTCATTTTCTTTCTTATTTTGAAAAGTAATTACAATGAATTAATCATCATCCATTTCCACATTTTCCAGGCATGACTTATCTCCCAAAAACCAACAAGCTGCTGCAAAAGAATCACTTCATCAACTTATTATAGAGTAACTTGGCGTAGGGCACACTTTGATTTGAGTTATGTAAACTGATTATTACTTTCTTTCTTTTTTTGAAATACAATCAATGGTAAATTACGGAAGAGTGAGATTAAACTTGAGTGTAATGGATAAGCACACCGTGCCCAACTAACCCAACTATTTGTGTTATAATTACTTAATAATTTTTTTTTTTTTATGTATTAATGTTGGATTATGTTTGTCAATAAAGCCCATTTTGGTAGCTGTGTCTTATGCTACGTTTTTCACCAATCACTCCATTTGTAATAAACATTGCTCCAAAAATTAAATGAATATAACAGACAAAGAGAGTTCTAAATAGAAAAATATATGTATATATACAAAAATCTAGAAAGTTCACTAGCTTGGCTAATCCCTTAATCCCTATGGTCATCCGCCAGCACATACGTAACATGCGGTCAACTACACACTGCTGTTAATGTTAGCAATATTCCCACATATCACTAAAGTACGCCGCCTCTTATTCCGCGGCCCCATTCCTATATAAGCAACTGATCGTCAAAATTCTTTTACCATTTGACGTCTTAAAAATTGAGCTGATATATAGGACAACGTAATTCTCAGAATATCCGCTTCTCAGAAAGACAGAGTTCGATCATAATCTGAGTAAGTCATCCCAATTCTCAATCTAGGTTTCTTCAATTATGGATTTTTCTTTCATAATTTCATTATTGAGGCTTAATTGGTTTCAAAAATCTCTGTACTATTCAATTTAGTTCGTTCATTTTTTTTTTTTTTTTGGTCAAGGGAACTGTATTCATTAATAGTGGGAAACATTACAAATTGAGGAAACTCATTTCAAAATGCAGCCCAACACCAACAAATAAAGCAGGCTCAGAGAAACATAACCTAATAAACACAAAAGCCCATACAACATTAACAAAGAAACCCTAGATCTAGAAACACAGGAGCAGCCACACATAACATGCCAACAATCCCACCAAAGCAAATCCACCACCACCAAGGAGAAGTAACCGATACCAGGGGGTATCAAAGAGGCCAACGGAAGATGGGGGTGAGCAGGCCACCCGCGCGGAAGCGCTCCCATAATCCAAGAGTCAAGTGCAGTATTCACTTTAATCGCAGCCACGGACCACCACATGCCATCGAGGAAGAACAACGAGAGCAGTGGACGCGGAACCGAGGAGCAAACGGTGGTGGTTAAGAACTGGCGACCAGACGAAGTCGCTGGCCATGTGTGGACGGCTACATAACAGAGAAGTGATGAAGGGAGGATAGATGTAAGAAGCGGAGGGTGAAAAGTGAAGGTGGCTGGGGAAGAAAGGAGAGGGAGATATGGGAGATAAAGGGTCTCACAGAGTGGGCTTACCTTAGGGAAAAACAGAAAAAAATCAAAGGAAACCGAAGTAGAGGCAAGGAGCCCCAGATCTGAGACAAGGCTCAGGGAAAAAACACCCATTTCGGGTGGGGAGAAGCCAGGGACTCTCAAAATGGAGGAGGAGGAAGAGAGCCCTCTAGAAAGTTAATTTGCTGATAAAAACAAAACAATAACCTTCTCAATTGTTTTTTTTAACAAGCGATATTGGGAGAGGGGAAAATTAAACGTAGGACCTCAGGTGCAGGAGAAAATGCTCTTAACTTCTCAATTCTAATGCAATCTAATTCCAATCTAAGTACACACCAAAGTCCTGTATCTAAAATCTGTTCATTAGAGAGTAGAAAGCAGACTGTCAATTTTCTGGTCTATGCTCTTGAACAATCAGTTCAATTTTTGTTTATCCGTTTCATGGAATTCCCATTTCATTTGGGAAACCATTCGAATTAGAAACCAACTTTGGCTCTTGTAAAATAAAAGCTTCATCACAATTTATCCTGTTAAGGCTATGGTGAACTCATCAGGCACACAATCCTTTTCTTTCCCTTCTAGATTGCAGCAATCTAACAGAACGAATTATACAGTTCTCGTGAAGCACCCAAAAAATAGAAGAAAACAATTGTTATGGAGAACTCAAATGACACAAGCGCATACATTCTTATATATGTATCAGAAGTTGACATTTTCTCTTTGGAGCTATAGCTATTATTATAGACAATAAAGATGCACATAATCAAAAAAATTTGTCACACTGTGTTTTGCAGGACAACATGCAAGATCCACAAGTTGAACACAACATTTGGGTCATATGGAGAGGAAAGAAGTTTAATGTGGAGATCAAAGAGGGCGCTACTCTCAAGGACCTCGGGCATGAACTGCAAAAGTTAACTAATGTCAAAGCAGATACGATGAAGCTAATTGTTCCACAGTTTCTAATAAAAGCTCAAAATTGCTATCTCCTTTCTCTGATGAGCATGAGAAGTTGAGTTTAGAGGAAACTTCAATCATTGAGGTATCATATTTAGTTGTCTTTGCATAAATGGTTTTACAATCAGAAAAGAATATCTGGCTATGGATACTGCTTATGGAGTTTGGTTTTTGTACTTGTCTATAAGATCTGATAACTTGTCCCAAAAGAAGTTCAATGTCAGCGACTTAGATGGCAAGGCGGCACACTTAAGCACCCTTTCGATTTCTGTTCAAGTTTCACTAATGATGTGCAATGAATTTTTTTAAGGGGATAATCTTGCTATTTGATTGAATTTATATGATGAACTTTCTGAGTTCTTGCATGATAACTGATTGCTTTTCTTCTTGTTCAGGGAAAGTCCGTCAGAATGATGGGAGTGTCTGAACATGAGGTTGATGAAGTTTTACAACATGCAAAGACAAACTTAAGGATAGCTGGATTTGATGAAGAGGAAATGAGATTGAGGCAGCGAATGTCATACAGGCCTCATACTCTGAAACTTCCACAAGGACCTTATATCTTTTGTGATTTCCGAACACTTCAACTTCCAGGAATTGAGGTATTCTAAAATTATGTATGAGGAAATGTGAAGATATTGCAATTATCAATTTTTGGTAGAGGCTTTTAACTTCAACTTCTTGTTACTTGTCTGCAGTTGAACCCTCCGGTGTCAGAGGCATTGAAAAGAATGCACATGCTTGCTGCAGATCCTGGAATTATTTCTGTCATGAACAAGGTATCATTGAATGCATATTCTCACACTTAGTATAAGCAGAATGTCCAGTATGCTGTGCATATGATTCCTTGGTATACTCTTGCGTCTCTGCTGGTAATTTATCTTTGCATTGTTCTTTTTAAAGCATCGTTGGCGTGTGGGAATCATGACCGAGATGGCCCCTGTTGGTTATGTTGGCATAAGTCCCAAATGCATCCTCGGGTTCAATAAGGTAATCACACTATAAACATCAGAATATATGATGAAATTAGTAGCAATAGTATTTTCTCTTTTCTTTTAATTTCTGATTGACACTTGGTTGCTATTGCAGAACCACGGGGAGGAGATATCTCTGCGCCTTCGAACTGATGACCTTAAGGGTTTCAGGAAATATGAAAGTATCAAGAAAACTCTTTTGCATGAGCTTGTAAGCTATATATTTTTGTTGACCTTCGAACTGATGACCTTAAGGGCTCGTTTGGTACACAGGACTGTCTTGGCATGGACTATGCTTAGGGACTGTCTTGGCTTGGCTTGGCTTGGTCTAAGTTGGATAACACTTATCCTGCGTTTGGTGTACGCTTGGACTAGGACTAGATTTTTTTTTATTTTTTCAAAACTATCTATGTATATGTATATATGTATAAATACATATATTATGTATGTGTACATATGTATTTTATAATATATGTGACATGTATGTGTATATACATGTATATATGTATATTATAAATAATATAAACATATGTATGTATATATATATATATGTACACATACATGTATATTCATGTATATATATTATAAAATACATATATATATTATATTATAAAATACATATATATATATATATGTATGTATGTATTATACCCATGTATATATGTATATTATATATATATATAATATATACATACATTATACATATATAATATATGTGTATATAGGTGTATATATGTATATTATAATATATACATGGGTATAATACATACATATATATATATGTTTATATTATTTATAATATACATATATACATGTATATACACATACATGTCACATATATTATAAAATACATATGTACACATACATAATATATGTATTTATACATATATACATATACATAGATAGTTTTGCTATTATTATAATATTAATATGTATATGTGTATATGGGTATATTATAATAATAATATACATGTATATATGTATATGTATATTATATATATATTATATATGTATATATATGTATGTATATATATATATATACACATATATGTACATATATACATATATTATATATTTATGTGTATATACATATATTTATGTGTATGTACATATATACACATATATGTACATTATAGTATATGTGTAAGTAAGTTTAATAATAATAATATATGTTATTAATTTTACAATATAATATATGCATTTTATATATTGGTGAGCATTGGGACTAGCTAATCCTCCTCTTCCACATGGGATTAGTAGTCCCCTTCTAAGGAGGTGTTTTTGGTGGGCCCAGTATTAACAATCCCATCTAAGACTAGGATTAGATAAAACAAACACGGTACTAAATTTAGTCCAAGCCAGTCCAAGCCAATCCCGTGTACCAAACGAGCCCTAAGGGTTTCAGGAAATGATGTCACAACCCTAAGGTAACAGCTCAGGCTTTTTTGCCTTTAGAGCCTGACAGGGCTTGTGGAGCTCGTGCCGTGCCTGGGCTGTTTTATACTGCTGGAAACTGCTTCTTGGGCCTAGCCCCCTTGCTCGGGCTGGGGGCCTCCACTGGAACAGCTCTTAGGTGTGTGGAATAGGCTATCTGATTCGATCTGATAACTCTTTAACTAATCGAACATGAGCCCAATTAATCCAAATTGGTGATAATTTGATTGCCTTAATACGATATTAAATTGTGTTTAAATTTATGTTTGTTGTAAATGTTATATATATTTGCATGAGTATGTCAAATAGAGATGTGTTTATCATTAATTTTTCAGCAGCAACGATCTGTTCTTCTCGGAGGCCATCGTTGTGTATCAAATTCCTGTGGTGGATCATATATACTTGAGTTATAAATCCCCAGTCTTTCAGTAATTAAACTACAGAGGAAAGAGATCATGCTTGAATGAAAACAAATAAAACTTACAAAATCGATGAGGCTAGGTTTGTTGGAGTACATGCTTGAAAGAGAGCCTCAGGTATAATCGCTGAATCAATGAGAATATTTGGGAGGGATATGTAAGGTATCGTGGCTTTATAACGAATAATCCACTCAGTTAGGAAATGAGCTCGATAAGCGAATAAGCATGGTAGCCGCGCAAGCTGCAACTCCAAAGCAACTGTTCCAGAAGCACATAACGCAACACTACTTGCATGCAGGTCAACATGAGTAACAAGTTTGAGCAAGAATAGACAAATTAATAAAGCACGCATTCCAAATTACAGAGTGTGTAAACTTGGCTTTAGATATGCTCAGATTCATTCCCTGTTGGCTATCAAACGAAGTGACGAAAAATTAATACACTACAGTGAACTTTGCTAACAGCCCGATTACTTGTCAACTCTAGATATTTAAAATTTTGCATATACAAAGGTGATTTTTTCATTCACATCCACAGGAATCGATAGATTAAACTTTCTGAGAAATATGCCATAAAAACTTAAAACTATGGGCCCGTTTGATAACCATTTCAATTTTAGTTTTTAATTTTCATTTTTTGTACTAGAGTATAGAAGAAAATGAAAGTGAGGATAAGATTGAGAAGGGAGGATGAGAGGGAGGAATAACAAAAGTGAAAACAAAATCTTGAAAGTGAATACAATTTGAAATATATTTCAATTTTTAGTTTTTGTTTTCACTTTTGTTACTCATCCTTCCCATCCTCTCCTCTCATCTTCCCTCTCAATACCATCTTCACTCTCATTCTCACTTCAATTCTCCCTCTTTTTCCTCTATACTCTAGCACAAAAAATGAAAACTAAAAACTAAAATTGAAATGGTTATCAAATGGGCCCTAAAGTGAGAATCCTAGTCACCGAATTTTATATCATCCACAAGAAAGGTGATTCATTTCACTTACACTGAATGCATCATATTTTTGGTGCAGGGATCCTCCTCGAATCAATATAGCAGGCACATGCCACTTGTTAGTGATTGGCACAGGAAGATGTCAGGTAAACCATTGTAAATAAAAATGGGTGTTTTTATATTCATACTCCTTTCCCTGCAAGTTAACCCCTCTTTTCTCTTATACAAGGAGGTGACTTTTGTTGACGCCAAAAAGTGGTTCTTTGACTTTGAGGGTTAACTTAGTAATTTTATGCCTTCGGTATGCTTGTGGCCTCGATAGGGAGCGTGATCTGCAAAGATGAGAGAACGCTCGGTAAGACCCAAGGCACCAGTGTGGTACCGGCCGAAGGCTCTCCGATGCTTAAGTAAGTTCGGGAATAGAAAGTTCAACTGACAGATTAATAGGCTTGTATGCCGTTAGTTCTGATTACCTCTATTTTGGGGTAGTTGGCCTCTTTTATAGGCCTGGGGAGGTGTGCATTTCGTTGATAATTTCGATGTGGGACTGTGGACGTCGCTGGGGAGC